TGATCAGCAATACTAATCATTTATATACTGTTAAATCTAATGATTATATGGTAACATGGTTATAATTCAATCGGTTCTATTGTCTAGACATGTATATATAATATTGATTATTATCAATTGATTAACAAGTATATGATGCACCGTTTAATCCCAACGTCTAACCACCTCTGTGGATAATATATCGAAAAAGTATATTTCAAATGAAATTGTTTATGATATTAATGTAATGTATGAATGTGTGAATGATTTAACTGGAAATTTTCCATCATTATTCTAATTGTATATATAATGGCGTTTAAAGATTTTTCCCAATAATCTACATATCAATTTGGTTACATCAATAAATTACAGTAGATCTAAGAGTTTGTTGAAGGTCTGAACATCTGTTGTTTTGATAAATGATAATGACTAATTAGAAAACGTATGATAATAAATAACTACACATGAGATTATTAGTAGTAATTATATTTAAGAATTAAATTGAAAGTATAGTTTTTATGTTCTAAATTACTTAAGAACGTTCGTCTAAATTAGATCGAATATTTTCACAGTATTTGGGCGCCCAGTTGATGTAAGATATTAAATAGGAATAATATATTTGTAAAACCTCAGCGAATGAATATGAAGTAAATTCAATCCTTCACCTGGCAATCTGGTCCAAGCCTTTTCCTTATTTCCTTGAAAAAACTTGGACCAGATTGCCAGGCGAAATGTTAGATTTACTTAATATCCATTCGCCGAGATTTTACAAATATATATTATTCCTATTTAGTAACTATTGATATTGTCATATTTATATTAAAATCTATTAAATAATCACTGAAAGAATATTTCTAATAAGAAATATTAGTCGCCTATAGAGTTTTCTTAAGAAAAGTCTTACATCTTAATAATGATGCTCATGTTCATAACAAATAACAGTTTGATATAACGGAAATTTAAGTTAATTAAATTAAGTTACCATCAGTATAGTCTCAATTACTCTCATTAATTTTTTTTTGTTTAGAAGCTTATTTGAGATTATTTTCAGATGTAAGTTGGTTAAGATACTATTGTAAGATAAAACCTTAGGAATATATGCTTCGTCTTTGTATAAGACTTTGTATGCTCCAAATGCCCTGATAGGGCCGAGAGTGGGGAGAGTCCGCTTCCCCTCACGAAATGCTCTCACATGGCCACGCTTATATAGCCTCTGTCAGGGAAGTCCTACTCACTGCCTTCTCGTGGCGGGGGTGTTCTTTACGAAATTGAGAGGACGAAAAGCGAATGTCCAGCACTTTACCCGGGTTGGTGGACACGGCGAGTCCACCTAGGGGAGTTTGAAAACCCTGATTCCAAACCAATGGTGCACATGGGCTCCAGTCTCCTAATGGAACAAATGGAGTATAAATCAATCGTTGGTCACTGGCTACCATGGGACTGTATCTCCTCACGATGCTCCACTGCCTTGTGGATCACATCTTTAGATCAAAGTCTCTTGGTGCGAACCCCTAAGAAAACCATCTGCTTTGGTTTGGGCACCTAAGCAGTATCACAGCCCTCACACAAATCAAATGAGATTTGTGTGGAGCATATGTATCTGGTTCTCCTTTTTACTAATATTTGTGTGTTCAAATAAATAAATAATAAGACTTTGTATCAGTACGTATCCACAACTCTATTTGGTCTCAAATCCAAGATCTTCCGATCTCGTAGTATGAACCCTTTAAGCGTAGAATTACAATCAAATCCTAATATAATGCAAAAATCATCCAAGGCTATATGTAATCCTTGTGCCACGACCGGAACTGGCTTTGTATTAAAGTACAAGTCAAGAAATTTATCATTCTCTCCCTGTATACTTTATCAAAAACGTTATTTCCTTATCACAGGCATATTTATGTACTTTTATTAATAGACAAAATATTATATAAATTGTCTTTCATAAAGGAATAAAATAACAACACATCTGCAATAATGACAGTAGTAACAGCATAGTAAAACTTGAATTACTTACTGCAAAAAATTCACTTGGAGCAACAAACAATTCATCTTCATATATATATCTACTAGTAGTTAGTTCATTTAGACTAAAGTCAATCCTAAAAGGGGTTGATTAAGAATTCATCAATGAAATAAACTATTCCTACCACTACTTAACAATAATCTAAAGTAGTAGTCATAGTATTAATTATAAAATGTATATACTGATCAAAAATGAACAAAACATACTGTTTTTTTCATGAATTAAACTGAAGTTGAGAAAATCATCAAAGAGATTTGCCGACAAAGTATTCAAAGCCTTCAGTCTATCATCCTGAATACAATTGTCTCCCAACCCCTCTTTTTTTTAATAATCATCAACCTACACTAACAGAATATTTATACTTAATTGTATGAATATAATTTTTATGACTGTCATTATTATTCATAACCAAATTATTCATACTAGCTATCTTAATCAATGACTCAAATGAATAGTTGAAAAACCGAATGATTTCAATGATTAAGTTGATTGCCCATTCAGTTTTTATACGTAACGTATTACGAATACTGTGACTGTATTAAATTATGAGTTAATAAAACATTTGTAGTTAATATTATTATTATTATTCCTTTTATTGAAATTTCCAAATTATTAACATACAAAAAGGAATAATATTCAGTTAGTAACTAATTTTTCAGGAAATAATCTGTACTTTTAAGTGAATGTATAATTGAACTCATTAAATAATTTAATACACAGAACAGTTAGAAAGAAACTAAAAATGAACAATTCTATTTAATAATTGAGATCATGAGTCAATTGAAGCTAGACCAATAATGGAATACCTAAAAGCACTGGACGGTCGTTTCGTTCTATTTTGAGTCTTCTCAGCAGTGGGTATCTACTATCCCGCTCCATGGGATTTGAACCCAAGAAATCTGAAAATCATTACACATACATAAAAAATCTTTTGCATCATCTTTTGTATTAAGTAAAATGCATCACATAAAAGTTACATAAAAATACTAAGTAGCTCTAAAATAAAACAAAATTCAGTAATCCGTTGACTAATTCGTACTCATTTAAGGTTGGTAATATGTAATAAAACGTATTAAGGATACGAGTACATGGTGGAGAAGATTTGTAGCTCAGGTGGGACGATGAAAGCTCCACGACCAAACCATCCAGCTCAGAGAACAAACCAACATAAAAAAAAGATACGAGTACATGTCAGTTAATATGCATACAAGACTAGTTAATACATATTGAATTTTTTGATTCTACGTTATCAGAACATGTTAAAAATTTATCAAACAGAATGCATTTTAAACTGTAATATCCAATAACTTCAATTGTATGAAGAAGTGTATACTTGTTTGACTGAGATTAATAAAATAATAACAATCATTTATTAGCTACATTAGTTGATACATTCAAAAGCTAAAAAGGGATTAATGCACATTCAGTAACCTTTTATTTTTATTATTTTACCACAGCAAAACTATTGAACATTGTACTATGCCTTTTGAGACGGTGAAGAAGATTTGTAGCTCAGGTGGATAATTTCGATGGAGTTTCGTTCTTAGAGCTGGATGGTTTGGTCGTGGAGCTTTCATCGTCTACTTCTACCCGAGGGTTTTGCTGATGATGTCATTCAGAAGGACAATGAAAGCTCCACGACCAAACTATCTAACTCAGAGAACAAAACTCCATCAAAATTTTACTATCCTATTCCAGTTGTGTTTTTTGGTGTTTACTATTGCTAAAATCTTTTTTCTATACCGATGGGAGTTGTGCTAACATACTGACGGTACCTAATGGTTGCTTCATTCAACCAGTTATGTATCTTATGACCAAACAATCACATCAAATAATTCTTCGTAGTATTTTACTAATCTTAATCTAATTAATTTTACCATTTAAATCAATTTGAAGCATCATGGTAATCTACTGAAAAACCAATGTTGTTCATATATGTGTCCTGCTATGATTTGCATAATATTAACACTTGACAGGGAAAATTCACAAAAGTTCATCTGGATATGCTTAGAATTTAAGTTTGTCATTGTGAATGGGTTATAAATTACTTCTAATCAACTGTAAATCACAAACTTGTTCATGATTGTTTGTAATAAATTATTTGACTATAAAAATCAGTACATATCCATAAATACATTAAACTTAGTGCACTCGTTTTCCACCAATGAATAAAAGTTTTGATTTATAATAAACGCTGGTTATTTGTTGATGCAGGCTGCAAAGTTATAGAATTTTGTTTGCCTACTTATAATTTGTAAGTAATCAAAATATAAAAACATATTTTTATGATGGCAGAGAGGAGTATGGGAAATTAGTTATGCCACTGTCTTTATTTAAGTTTGTAATGTATAGTGTATGTTACAGATTTTCTGTATCTGAGGTTGAAACCCTTTACACTATAAGCACTTATTAACTGCCATGCCATCGAAACAACATTATGAAGGCTCGTTCATATGATAGTGAATTTTGTGAAAACACTTTAGGAATATGATTAGCGTCTAAACTCATCACATATACCTAGTTGAAGGTAAGGAAAATGATTTTTTCCAGATTAAGAGTAAGGTTTATTTATTACCCTAGTAAGCATTCAATAATGTTCATAAGTAAATATCATTAGAACACTATTTATTCAATTCAGTAGTTTTAAATCTTAAAATAAACATAACTAAATTTTTAAGATGAAAAATTAATTTAATTCTAGGGTTTAGGAGTCCACAGTAGATTCTTGTGGTAATAATAACTTTAGGAGATGGAGTATCTGTAAAGATTGTTTATATCAAAGTCTAATTAATATCATACAGTGACATCAATTGGTGGTTGTCGAATCAGGTCTATTCATTCTGGATCATAATTAGTGCAATGTTTGTTTTTACAATCTTTTATGTATCAGTCTTAGTATCACTTCTTCTTAAAAGAGCTTTTACCAAATAATATACAACTATTTTCTAATTTATCATAACATTAGTGATTAAAATCTGTGTATTATTTATTTCAGGAAACTTGTGATGACCCATTGGAAGAATTTGTATCTCCTGTACGTGGTACACCACGTTGTTGTCGTAAATGTGAACCTGGCAATGGTATGTTACGTTTATGCTCAAATACAGAAGATACACAATGCCGACCATGTAAACCAGGTTTTGAATTCTCGCCTTTTAGAAGTGCAACAAAAAAATGTTTACAGTGTCGACGTTGTGAAGAGGTTAGTGAATAGATAATAAGATTAATGGTCATAGGTACTTTTTTGTTTAAGTATTTTTTGTTGTACTAAAATTTCAATCATCACTAGAAATTTTTATATTCACAATATTACTGAGAAGTTCTATTCTATCGAGATTATCAACTATGTACTAGTTCATACTTACACTTTATGTGCACAGCATATCTAATATGGTTGTAGATGTACATACGTGAAGATTCCTACCCAATATTAAAAATCAAGTAGTATATGAACAAACAATAATAACTTAATCATCCTCAATCATAAGTCTACGATTATTTTATAATAATGAATATCAAGAGCTTATATGTTAATTTTTTATGCTCTCTTTTTAGCTCCATCCATTAGCGAAAACACGCAATGAATGCACTCCCGTAACAGATACAATATGTCAATGTGAAAAACCATACTATATGTCAGAAAAGGAACAAACATGTAAACCATGCACTGTTTGCAAGCCTGGTGAAGGTATAGTACAGTAAGTTTAAGTTAATATTGTTATCCTACTTATTTATTATCTAGTAGTATAAATTTGTGAAAGTAAAAAAACTACCGAGATTCTCTACTATCTCATTGTATAGACATTTTTTCATATAAAAATCTATACAAGACGCATAGAAATCAGAAATTCACTGTTAATAACCGTTACCTATTCACATAAAAGGACAAAAACGTTATATGTACTGTCTTGCATTCTTGTATTCATCTACTTCGGTATATATAAACATACTTACATACATTAATGTTTCATTCATCTATATAGAATTCATTTACTTTTTCGTATATAAAAAGTTTTACGTGTTTCATTACTTATTGATATTATTATTATTAATATCTACAAGTATAGTGATGTGTGAATAAATGTGAAATGTTTTGCTTTACGCAAAATAAACTGTCGGCTTTAATAAATTAAATTGCATTATTACATTATGTACCTTTTATGTATGCATAGTTCAATATTCTTTATATTATTTCGATCAAATATACCTACACATACACATATATAGATAAAATCAAACATAAATGGTTATGTAAAGTAGGAATTTCATGAACAGCTGTAATGATATCAGTAGGTGCTATGAAATTGTTTTCTTTTTTTTTTAAACAAAAAACCCCAGTAATTCAAGTTTGTTGTAATGTGAATATGAAAATCATGTGAATTATATAGAAATGAAATAAAAACTTTTATAGTTGAAAATCATTCAAATGGATTACGAAACTGAATGTATATATATTGGTTTTATTAGATTTCAGAAATGTGTTTAATCCCTAAGCAACTAAAACTATGGATATTTTATGATTTAATCAATGAAAGATTTAAACTTGAACGTAACATTGACATGAATGAATTCAAACTCCTTCAAATAGAATCATTCTCTAACACTATTATATTCATTTCATTTCATTTGAGATATAAAAAAAACACAGAATATTTCATAAAGTAACTAATTTGTAAACTATTCCATATAGCTTATTAATATATAACACACTATTAATAATTAAATATAAAACTAACTCTATTGTAAATCAAAATAATATATTTGTAATATCTCAATGAGTAGAAAATTTAAATTTTTTTGACATTTCCCCGTGACTTAGTATAAGCTATTTGGTTATTTATTATCTGAAGAAGTAGCTTACACTAAATTACGAAACATGAGAAAATCTAATTTTTTTTACTCATTGAGATATTATAAATATATTATTTTGATTTATAACAATCTACTCAATGCTCAATTTATTCGATATTATCAAGTCAAACCTTGGTAATGATACCTAATAACTCTATCTGTTTACTTGAAAAACATTTATAAACACTATCACTTAAATGTCTTTAGAACACATTACAATAATCAATGGTATATTTTCTGTTATTATTTTAGTGACTATTATTTCAACCAAATCCTTTTTTGTTATCTAATAATGAATTCAATTTTGGATTGAACTACATTCTCTAAGCTGAATGGTTCATTCGAGAAGGTTTTAATGTTTTTCTAATCAATATATTAAATATAAACTATAGATAGAATTTTTCCCTTAAATAATATAAATCTATTAAAGAAATTTAGAGAAATTTTAAAAATATAATACTCAGTTCAATCAGATATTAATAAACATAAGTAATTGATTGAAGTTAGACATAAGCACTGATGGGTACCGGCCTAGTGGTCTAGAGGTTAAGCGTTCATATAAGAGACCGAAGGTTCTGAGTTCGATTCTCACGTTCAGGATTATGAATGCGCAATGCTGAGAGGTACCATACCAGAACGAAACGGCGATCTAGTTCTTCCATGTTTTCAGTGATCGTCTAGCGTTGATCAATTCATGATCTTGATCATAAACATAACTGAAATAAATCTAATTTATGAGGTCAGACAAGAAGACAATTAAAATAAATATATAATTAATTATGTAACAAGTATCAATAAATACAGTGTTGGCAGAACAACCTGTTAGTCACTTATAAATAAGTTTTAACAGCTTATTTCTGTCTTAAATTCATTCTGATGATGATGTTTAACGGTATAATTAATGTTTAGAAAATTCAACACTCAAATTTAATCAACTGTCTAATTCAACTTAGTGATTACATAATTTTGAGACATTTCGGTTAACAGAGCTGAATTGTCTTAGTTGAGACAATATGCAAAACATGGTATAGGAATTTGTTGAAGTCAGCACATTCCAATGAATTCTGTTGTTAAACGTGTTTTCTTGATTACTTTAATAACTTTTGGCGGAATGATAATACTAAAACGATAATTAGTTAAGCTTAGCTCAACAAATAGCTTAAAGTAAATTTGTTTTATATATACATTTCACCGAATTGGTTCCATTCGATTCATTTTCCCGATTACATAGTTAAGTTCACTTTTGACAATCTTCACCTAAATAGTTTCTTATCCTTATTATTATATTTATTTTATTTTTATTATCACCATCATTTCTTGAAGGGCATGTGGTTGGAACTCGGATACACAATGTCAATCATGTCCAGCTGGTTTCTGGTCTGCACAAAGTATCGATAATGTAAAGTGTATACCTTGTCAATCATGTGGAAAAGATCAAATTTTAGTGAAAGAATGTTCATCAACATCAGACACTCTTTGCTGTCCAGTAAACAATCCCAACTGTACACACGAATTGTCAATGTATTTCGGTAAGATAATAATAATAATCTAATATAAAATGTATAACATAATAATTCATGTAAAAAACATTTATTATTTCCTTATTTCAGTATAAAGTTAATGATAAAATCAATGTTAAACAATATATCATGATTTATTTTATTTAACTATCTTAACAGAAAAAATTTTAACAATTGAATTCATGATTCGATGTAAGCTAGACCACCACTGAAAACCTGGAAGCACTCGATCGCCGTTTTATTCTAGCATGGGACTCTTCAAAAGTGCACACCCGCGATCCCACATACGGGACTTGAACCCAAGACCTTCGGTCTCTCGTGCGAATGCAAAATCCATGATCTTTCCTAACCATTCATCCATTGTCTGAGGTAGATACCTATCTCTACCCGACACATGCTGGGCTCCAGTGGTCACAGCTTCTCACCAGAAAAATTTTTGTTTAAGATTTGTATTATTCTACTGATTATAATTCCTAGGAATCAAACAACATTTTAGGAATAATTGTTTTACATTATAAAATATATCTTAGTGTAGCTGATTGTTAATAAACTTTGGATTTCTGATGAGTCTATAGGTAATCATATAACTATAATACTGTGAGACTCAAAACTTTTGTATTTCACACTCCACATGATCACGACTTTTTATTCTTTAGTAATCTTAAGTCAGAACAAAATAGCTGCACCAATTGTTCTTGGTTTTGTAATATTCGATAAATGGAATGTATTAATAGCATAAAGTATATTCATTAAAACTCTTTCGTCTTGATAAAATATGTTTCCTGTTTAATCAATTCTAATGATTAATTAACTCATTTATATTGTCTGCCCTATAGTTTTCAATAGGGATAAAACGAAAGAATAACTTTCTACAATATATATATATATATATATATATATATATATATATATATATATACGTGATTAGAGGGAAAAAACTTTTTTAGCATGTAGTCAATGTCAAATCAATAATTCATAAGTCAAAGGTTTTAGTCCGACCACCACTTTAATTTCTTTGAACTTTGTCGGACATTCCTATCTATAAGTAATTACATATAGATATTTTTCCACAGCTTATAACATAAAAACAAATTTTCGGTTTTTTCGAAAGTTCTTTAAAGTAAATCACTAAACTAAAGAAGGCAAGTACTTTAAGAGAGAGGGAGAGAGGAAGAATAATTGGTGAATGTACATAAGGGTGAAAAAAAAGAAAAACAACAACAAAATAATAAAGAAAAAATCAGAAATGACCTTTGATGTAAGTTGGTGAGAAAAACGAGAAACCCTTTGTAAAATACTTTTTCTTTACCTCATTTATTTCTCATTGTGTGATGGCTACTTTACAATACAGTCATGTTAATGCCATAATAATTCTTAATAACGTTAATATCAGCATTATTTCCTTATAAATTATGTGTACAATATGCACATAAATTTAGTATATACATATATATACCGTGTATATGTATGTAATTTATGTTCTACCCATTTTAGTCAACTGTTGGTTATTTACACAATTTTACGTTATTTGAAATTCTTATAGTTTTTCATTTCGTTTATTTATTTTTTTACCTTTTTATTCTTGTTACGGTTAGTGTTTTTGTTATTCTTTATTATTATTATCATCTTGTCGGGGAATAATCTTTGAAGTTTTGCATATACACTTAATGCGCCATCAAATAAATCATCAAATGACCGTGTAGCCGGAACCATTTCCTTTTTGTTTAACAATAATAATAATAGTAATAATAATAATAATAATAATAATAGTCATCGTAAAATATTTAAGTGCATTTTTATACATCCATAGATAGACATTTTATATCTATGAATGAATACTTCAATGTTTATGTACGTTTGTATACATTGATGATTATTAGCTTAGTGTATGTTTTGTATGTTAGTTACTTAAAATTCATTTAACGAAGTGTATTTGGACAAAATGAAGACATAAATTCATGTATATCTTTATATATAGTTGAACTTGGATTGGTGTATGTGTGTTGTGTTGTCTCTGTCTTTACAAAAGAAAAATAAAAACAAAAAAAAGGAAACACATGTAGATACAATTTTGTTATGTGCTTATAAATTTATTCATGAATCTTATGGCAACAAAAATATAGAAAAAAATACGATAATAAAATAAAAAAAATAATCATTTACAATGAGAAAAAAGGGGATTCATTGAATATTATGCCAAAATTATTTCAAATAAATAATAACGTAAAGATTGAAAAATTGAAATTACTCTAGAACAGTAAAACAAAGTGTGTGTATATATATATGTGTATATAAGACAATAAGGATAATATATGCATACGCATATAAATCTAACTATGTAGACAAAATCAAAGAAGCTACTAGAATTTAACCGACAAGATTTATGATTAAGCAATAAGATTGAAATGAAAACACATGAAAGAGGAAAAAAGAGGAGAAAATTTTTTTTCTTTATTCAGACTAAAAATGGTTTTAAAAAATACACACACACACATACTTACACATACAAAAACAATAAGAGAAAGAGAATGGTAACTAATCTTTAGAAATCCGATTTTTCATTTAATATAAATTGAAGATTAATAATAATTTCGAATTCTTTTTTTTACTTCAATGAAATAATATATTTCCATAAGGTGGAGGATGATAGTGGCGCTTATTTAAATGAATAATTTACAATACTACTGTAACATTATGATTGGTAGTAGTGATGATAATAATAATAATAGTATTAATAACTAAAATCATTAATATTATCGATAAATTACTATGAAAGCGTAGAGAGAGAGATAAACAAGTGAAAGACTTCTTTCAATTTTCAAATTAAAATAATAGGGAATTCATTATTTCTTCCTATGAAGGAATTTATTTCATCTTTGTAAAAATATTTGTTTCGGTAATCTCTATTTTTTTATTTGGTGATTAATAAACTTATATTTGTTGCTTTGTTATAGTTGATGATTAAAAGTGGAACAGTTTTATAATCATTTCATTTCAATTCTACCTTTGTTGTAAAATTATTTGGATTATATTAGGAATCAAATGTAGTATGCATACGTATACATGTAATCTTCAGCTCTTGAGTTCGATCACTTAGATAATTGAAATACGATCCAAAGAGTACTGAATTCAACCTTGTATAATATCTCTTATAATATCTTGAAAATTTAGTCTAGGATGAAACCTTATCTGGGCCCCTCTGAATGTTCTTTAATTCCCTAGTTCTATATGCAAAAAACTATATGAAAACCCTCATTCCATTTCGCAATAAACTGTTAGCATATTCATTGTTATTCCAGTATTTTCTACAAAATTTTTACCATTAACCGATATCACCTGGAGAAATATAAAACACTAACGAGTGCTCAAGAGCTATTTATTCAAAATAATTCATTATGTCTATTTCATCTGATCAAGCACATGTTCGGTATTGCTTACTTACCCCTGTTACTATTCGTGGAGGAGCATAGGCCGCCCACCAGTACTCTCCATCCAACCATGTCCTGAGAAATCCTTCCCATTTTTTATTCATCCTTTTCATATTTGCTTCTATTTCCCAGTATAATATGTTCTTTGGCCTTCATCTTTTCTGCTTCCCTTCAGGATTGCAAGTTAGGGCTTGCCCCGTGATGCAGTTTTGGTGATTTCCTCAATGTATCTCCAATCCTTTTCATGTTTGGTATACCTTCTCTTTATATCTTAGATTAATGCCGTATGGTTAAAAGTACTACTACCACTGCTACTGTGTAACTACCGACACAAGTGAAACGGAGATCAAATTTACAACCTATTACTTAAAAGTCAAGTTTTTTTACTGTTAAACTATAATTCAAAACATTTATTGAAATGGATCATATGTATCTAAATATATCAATGCATAAATAACTTTCCCCGTGGTACTACATTCATTGAACTATCCATTTCTCCCAAATAAAAAGATGGATTTTTTTATGTTGTGTCCATACCGTGTGGAAATTTTTTTCTATATTTCTTTCATTATTTTATTTTTCTTTACCTCGCCGTAAAATGTTTTCGTGATGAATTATTTGCTTAGAAATAGATTAAATGATAAATACGCCTTTATCTGTATCTTAAAGAGAAAAGGAGGTTAGGATGTATAGTATAATAAATATATATATTATTCCCATATATATATATATATATATATATATATATATATATATATATATATATAATTCGTGATATCTCATAACAGGAGCCGACATATTCACTGTTCTCCTTCTTAGATTGTCTTTAATTAAGACCAGTATAGAAACAGATTAAATTTCACTTATTCACAATGTTCGGATGTAATTTTAGGTTTGTTTGTTCGCCTATCTGTTATCTTCTTTCCATTGTTTTTTTTTGTTAAGAAAAATTATTATTTTACGTTCTAATCAGGAGTAAAATTCAATTACGAAAAGAAATGATCATCTATTTATTGACTAATTTAAAGAATTTGTACGCCATTTTTATCGTTGATATTATTAGTAATGCTAATGATTGTCAATGTTTAGCTTTGTGTTTCTCTGTATGTTTGTCCCTTGGATCAAAGGAAACAAACATGTGTGTATACCCATATATATATGTAACACATATTTACAAAATCTAAAATGAAAATGTTGCATAAGACCAAGTAATGGATAAAATAAAATTTGCATGAACTTTTCTAATTGAAATAAGCGGAATAAACGTAAATTTTTTGATACAATTGCTAAGAAATGAATAATGTAGGTTGTTTGTTAATGATCAAACGGATAGGTTACTGAATAGCTGTTTTATCATAGTCTTAAACTTTTATTTAATATGAACTTATAACTTTCAGGTATTTCAAAGAGTTTAATTCCATTGAGTTATAATTACAAACTCTCCAAAAGAGTTATTTTACATTGGTTTCCGACAGAACTAGACACTGTCCAGGCTTTTGACAGCTTGAACAGCATAACTCGACCTCGTGATGAAGAACCCTGAGGGACTATTTGAAATCTATCACCCGAAATTTTAAACTT